GAAACATTTTGCAAACAGCAATGCATGGGACCTTTTTGAGAGACAGAAGAACTAGCAATTAATTCTGATCTGCAACCAACACTTAGAAACAACGTTTTTTCAATCTCCGACCTCAGCAGATCAGTGTCTCCAGGATACAGGGACAGGGGGACCACCTGAAATCCTATCTCTGCTCTGGATCAGGACGGAGCACCAGGAATTCAGAGGAATAAAGAATTATGATTTCAGACATGGAGTTCGAAGCATACGTGGCTTTTTTGTAAACCTGCAGAGAACGGGATCTCCCAGGGGCTCACATTGGCTTTGCTTGTGGAGAGAGAAAGAGCTGCAAAGAGCTGCCTGGGGAACCAGCCAGCCGTGCAGCCTAAGCTCTCCACAGCTTTGTGCAGGGACAGGCAAGATGCAGAGAGCTATGCCAGGGCAAAGAGAGCGGCAGATATCTGGGACTCACCACCTCAGCTGCAGCCGTGTCCAAGGGACAGCTAGCTAAAGACACCAGGGTCTGCACGACGTTGGCAGCGAGGTGTCCGAGACCAGCACAGCCACAGGCATCCTCCTGCTGTGTTGAGCATTATTCCCAGCAGTCAGGGTGTGTGTCAGCTTGGGGGTTATTTCGAAGCAGAGTGGTTTTTGACAGAGGAGGACAGTGTTTCATAAGAGTGAGCACTCAGGCTCTGCGTGCAGTAAGAGCGTACCAGCAATGTGCGGGTCCTACCACGCACCCATCACAGGGTCCGTAGCTGCACAGGCTCACTCAGGGCTGCCTGGAAGTTTCCAAAATGGGAGTGGAATCACAACCACGAGAAAGCTCAGTGACTAAAGAGGGGCCGGCGTGTGCCAGTAGCCTGCCCATGGCCACCAGAAAACAGCCAGCTGGCAAACCCTGCTGCCCTACTCATTGCCACCACATTCCCATCACCAAAAGGTGCCAGTTCCCTCTGTGCTCTGGCTCATTTGTCAGCTCTAACAATTCACCCTGCACGCTCACAAACACACCACTTTAGGTCAGCTGTACTTCTTGCTCCTTGTTCCCTGCAGCAGACACTGAACATGACTGTTTGCCTTGACAGTGCCCTTTGACTGTCACCAGAGTCTTTCCTACCATCCTTTACCCCATGCAGCAGAAGCAAAGGTTGGTCAAGTGCTTAAGGGATTCACTACTAATCCGTACGCTGAAATCATCCTCGTAGACTGAGCTTGCAGACATGACAGCCGGGACCAGGCTTTCCCAACACTGCAAACGCTGTTCTGGGGCCAGAGCTGGTTTATGCTGTGTCCCTTGTGCTTCTGCCCACTCACTCTCTCTGGGAGATGGCTGTGCATCCCAGGCTGGGCAGGCTGATGTAAAATGAGAAACATGAGGGTCTCGTGTACCTGAACATCTCCTTACGGCCTCTCTTGAGAGGTCATTCCTTTGAGTTCAGGGCTGCAACGTTCTCAGAAGCTGGTGCACCCAAAAGGGTTCCTACAAACACAAGAGACTTTGGAGTTACTGTGTGTTCACTGATGAACCGTGCATGTGCCTGCTTGTTCCCAGGCAGCAGCTGTGTCTTGCTTGGCTTACTTCATGGGAGCACAGGCTGGGAGATACTTCTCTGCCCAAGGCAAAATTCACTCTGCAGCATGTCAGTCTTGGCAGATGCTTATCTTAACCGGTTTTGACAGACCCATGGTGACAGACACCCTGTGCCCTTGTCCAGGCAAGCTACTCCAGCAATTTGCTAGGAGTTCTTCCTAACTGCATCTTCCATTTCAAACATTTATTTAGTTACTTCTCGTCCGATGTGCCATGGACACAGACAGTAGACTTTTCCTTTCCACCTTACAACAGCGTTTAGTGCATATATAAACCATTACCATGTTTCCTCTCCATCTCTTCTCCTTCATGCTAAGAAACAGCTCATAGGTCCTTATAGGTCCTATTTTCTAAGAGTTCTGATTACGTCCAGAGATCTTAGGCATGCGCACAATTTCTCAGCTCCAACAATAATGATGGAGAACGTGGGAAGCTTAGACACATAAAAGCCTTACCAAAACCTCCCAAGAATGTGGCTGTAGCCTATGTTAGGTTAAAGGAAAGCAGAGCGTGGTGGTGGTGGGCAGTCAAAAATAACCTTGTAAATGTAACAGAGAGGGGGCTATTTATACATGTTAGAAAATCCTTCCTAATTTGAAAGTCCTTAGTTAAAACATGTGATACCAAAACTTCGTGGTTCTCAGTTTTTCATGGCCATATAATACCAACATCAGAAAGCAACCATCGCCTTGGATAACAATGCAGCTCAAATCCTATCTCAGTTTTTGAATGAAAACTCTGCTGGACACAAACACATGACAGAAAGGCTGTTTTAGACTTTTCCCCCCTTTAACTCTACTTTTGTTATAGATTCTTGATTTTGGAGAATAAATTTAGGCACACAACTCATCTGATAACTCCCTGCTGAATTTTGAACACAAATCTCATTATTTGCAGCAAGTCTTAGGTCAAAAACGCAATGTGGTATCAAAATGCTGTAGGAAGGGGACAAAAAAATAATTTTAATTCTCTGATTGCACTTAGTATAGCAATGCCTCAGTGACAAATAAGGAGCCAGAGCAAAGCAATCTATCCCTATGAAGCTGTGCAGACAAAACATACACACATCGCCATGATCATCACACAGACTCGTGGCAAAAATGAAGTAAAGCTCTTCCAAAATGTGAGTGACTCAGGGTGCCAGCCTGAGCTCTGTTTAAACTACAGGTTTTAGCCTGAGGTCTGAATGCTCTTTATCTGCTGCCTTCTCCCAAGGCATTTGTGAAAGGCTAAGAAACACATGTGAGATGATAGTACAAACAGCAGTGGAATTTTTTTTTTTTTTCTACAAGATTGAAGCAAAGTGAAAAACCTCTCTCTCTTTAAGAGCCTGAATGTTTAGAAGATTCAATATTAGCCAGCCTTTAAGATGCTTGAAGTGAAATGTGTAAATGTTGTTTGTAAAACATTCCCAAACCAGTTGTCCCGTTGAAACAGAAAAGCCACACTATTGCATCGAAATAGCATCAAGTGTCTCCAAAAGGCCCCCCCCGAGCAAGCCTTCATCCCTTCCGCTCCCCCGGTCAGCTGGCCAGCCCGTGTCAAGCAAAGGGGAGCTGCTGCGTGACGCAGGTCTCGGGCCTCGCACCCGGGCACTCAGTGACGCCCGATACTGGCTGTACTTACAGCACTCCAGCAGATGAGATGGTTCGTCTCCGGATCTTCCACCAGCGTCCAGAGTTTGGTTAGGAAGGCTGGCACGTTGCTGGAGTACCCGTCCATCGCCAGAGAGCTGGGTGAATCCTGCATAGTTTTCCAGCGTCCCAGCTACGCTAACCCCATTGCTCTCGGCGTGCCTGCCTCCCTGCACGCGTGTGCGTCCGACAGAGAATGAACCGCCGAATTTTATCCCGGGCCAGCGGAAAAGTAGGCTCCCAGGGAGTCACATCAGCAGTGCTGCTTGCACTCTTAAAAACTCAGCACAATGCGATGGCATCACCAGCCCCAGAGAACAATACACAGAATGAAAATGCACCGCAGCTGATCTCACAGAGCCGTGAATAAATACGCAGTGTCATGCAAAGGGAACACGTGCTGTGCACCTTATGCTGGGAAGTTAGCAAGTCACCGGAGTGAACCCACCTGCTGAGGGTCTGCAGGGCGCCCAGGCACAGCAATGCCACGTTTGTGAAGGCACCCAAATTGTTCTATTGGAATTTTCTTGTCCTAAATATTGGCTGGCACAGACGAACAAGGGCTGGCCAGACCTCAGGGCTGCGCAGCTTTGGCAAGGTTTTGAAAAGTCAGAATTGTAAGTTGGTTTGGCTACAGATCTCATGTTGTTTGTCAAGAGAAATGGATTGGGCTTTTAGGTAAGAAGAGAAAGTGATGACACCAGCTACACATAGAATCTAGATGACAATATGCTTTATTACTATTGTTATTATAAATGCTTTAGATAGCTCTAAATAGGTGCTCGCGGTGTAGCTTTATGCCAGGATCATTTCAACTCACAAACTGCTTTTCAAATAATACTCACCACAATCTTTGGTACAACAGACCAACACACACGTATCCTCATTCAGATAGACAGAAGATAATGTCCACGTGAATGCAGATACCAGATGCAAAACCTGTTAACACTCTTGATTCTCCTAAGGGACACCAACAACGTAATGAAAACAAAGGTCTTTGCAAAAGGCATTTGAATTCTTACCTGGAAATCTGCCTTCCTGAGCAACAGAAAGGCAAGATGGACAAGGGAATTTGCAGGCCATGTGCCTTTTATTACCACCTTGTCAACGCTTTTCCTTAAGTGCTTTTTCTCCTGCTTGTATTTCCTAACGTAATTCAGCTCCTGTTCTATCCCTCCAAGCTGGAAGCTACCCAACAACGGGATAACAGGGGAGTTCACCACTACTGGAATACCAAAAGAGGAATTATCAAGGTTAGAGCGGATATTCCATCGGATGACCACAGTTTGTTGCTGTAGCTCACTGAATCTGCATGGCTAAGTACTCCACTGGGCAGAAACGTCCGCATTGAAGCTTCTACTTCCTTAACTATTTCAGTAGTTACTGGACACCTGACACAGTGTGCTTGACTTTGAGCTGCTTTTAAAATGGAAAATCAAAATCAAATTTTGCTGAAGTCTGCAGTAAAAACCCACAAAGGGTAAATCCAGCATTCCGGCTAAATAAAGAAGCAAAGAAGAAAAAAGACCTGCCCTATATACCGCCAGTAAAGAAAATAAGGGGAGGGGGGGAAGTTCTACTTGTCTGTACAACCCTTTGTCTACCACATTTGAGTGTAAATGCTTGGTCTGCAGGATGGGTGTGCATCATACGTAACAGCCAGTGCTGGTGAGCAGCACGTTCTCAGTGAGTGCAGAGGGCATTTTGCAGCACTTTCCTCGTAGACCTAAATCTTCTTTCCCTGTCCTCTTGCAGATCCTCACGACTTCCCCAGGCAGTCAGCAGGAGCTGGTCACGGAACTCTTACTGGTTTCCAGGGGTGCCGTTCCTTGGTGACCTTCAGAGTGTATTGTTTCAGACTGGGGCAGTGCGTGAGGAACGCTTCTACCACCTCCTGGCTGACCACACAGTAGCAGTGGATCTCCAACAGATTTCTGCACTGCCTGGCCAGATCTACTAGCGAGGAATTTAAGTCCTCCGAGGACGTGGTTTGCAGCGTCAGCTTCTTTAAGGTACTGCTGTAGCTCTGGGTGACAAACCTAATCTGATTTACCATGTAATTATAGGTATTCAGTTGCAGCGTGCTCACAGGTATGTTCAGCTTTAGGATCCGTGGTATTTTGCAGGCAGGGACCGTATGATCAAACTCTAGGTCTACACAGAGTTGAGGATGCTTTCTACTTACAGCAGCCCAGAGCTCTTCTGAGATGACTGGTATATATTTGTCCAGGCGCTCACAGAAAATGTCTAAATGGATGAAAGGTGTTCTTTCAGGCTTGAGCAGTTCTCGAAATACATCGTCAGACAAACTGGCATAGTAAACCCCCAAGGCTGAGAGTTTGGGGCATGCTCTGAGAACTTTCCTGACGGTGTCTGGTGCCACGTTGCATACCAGGGTGCGGTTGTTGATGAACAAAGTGTGCAAGTTGGGGTTGGTGGTAGCTAAGAGTTCCACAAGCTCATCATCGAGAGTGAAGGGCATTTTTCGAAAATCAATATGCTGAAGGTCTATCTGGTTTTTGGCGTTACATATATTCCGTATGCTCTGCAGGATGTCCTGGCCAGAGTAGAAATAGGGGTTCTCCCCGTGGCACACAATGCACAGCTGCTGCAGTTTGTGGTTCCGTTTTGCCAACACATCCAAGATACGTGTCACATTCTTCCGGTTGACCTCCTTGGACTGGTCAAACACAATCTTCAGGTGTTTGATTTGGCTGAGGAACTGGAGCAGGCTCTGCAGCATGCCTTCCTCTTCCTCTGAATCACAGCTGGAAGGGTAAAAGAAACTCTTTAGTCACTGTGAACGCCGAGCTGAGCAACCGCTAAGCAGCTACTCTCCTTTACTAGTGTTTCTGCAGACATCAACAGATTCCCCAGATGTTTCTCCACACTTGATGCCTGGAGAGTCGCTGTACGGCCAAACACTGAAGGAGGCAGGAGGTGAGAAGAGTCAGTCCTCGGAAAGACCCATCAGAGAAGTAAATGTCACGACAAGTCTAACTTGTCTCATTTTCAAATGGCAACTCGGAACAACGTATCTAAGAATGTAGTATTTCCCATAAAATCCAAAACTTCATCAGCAACTGAAAAAACCCAGCACATAACACAATTTTCTCTAGTATATGAAGAGGTGCTAGTCATTTAAAATAATATCATCACCCACAGAAATCAAAATTAATGTCAGTCATGTCATAGCAGAGTGGTGTAAATGTCTGACATGAACTGGGAACAACGCTCTCGTTAGGCCTGCAAAGATGCTCGGACGTTAGAAACCGACCCCTCTCACCTGATCTCTGTGAAATGCCAAACAGAGCTGGAAGCAACAGCTGCAGCCCACTGTCTGCACACCTGGAAGACTGCGTATCTATCGCGAACAGGAAGATAACAGAAAATCTGGATGAGGATTTCTTCCGGGATGTAGTCCCACGGTTCTGGAGCTGGAGCAGGCATTTTGCCGATGCAGTCCGGTTTAAAAACAGGATAAATTTCCAAAACGGCAATTAATTCTCCACAGTCCCTGTTCATAAAAACAAAACAAACAAAAAAAAGAGACAAACACACACACATTAGGATTTATTTAACAAATCAAACCAATGCAACTGGATCACAGAGGGGGGGGTCAAAATTTTTTCAAACTTGAAATTTCACCAAATTTTGAAACTGAACACAGAAGTGAGGAAAATGTGTTGGCAGGTGTTTTGCACAGCCTTTTCGATCAGTCCCAAGAAGCTGGGTGACACTTTTCAAGAGTTACAGATGTCAGGCCAAAGCTTTTGGGGGAAAAAAGCGCCTTTTTTCCTGCACTCTGAGTAACAAAAATGCAAGGGAATTTTCTAGTACTGCTGCACTGGTATTCAAAAAGCTGAGACGGATTCCTCAAACTGCAGGGGAGAAAAACAACCGCTTTGCAAGCAGAAGCTCTGCACAAAAAACAGAAGGCCTACAGCAGAAACCAGCAGCTTAATTACAGTGGTCCTTGCCTGTGATAAGACATTGCAGTTTGGGAACAAAAAAAAAAAGCTTTATTACTGTGACTCCAGTTCTCAGAAATTGCATTTCTATACATGTCTGACTTAAAAATGGAAAAGCGTATTTTGATTAACCTTTCACGTGAACTCTCATGCAAAAGAGTGAGCACCTGGGAAGAAGGCTGAGGTTCATAGCGTCAGACCATCGCCTAACTTTTTCATTCTTTTTCTTCCAAAATGTCCTGTAGCCATCTTCTAGATTTCTGCACAAATAAAACTACCAACGTGGCATTTTTTCAACCCCCTCATCAACAAGCGAGGGGTTTTTAAATGCAATCTTTTCCTTCCTAGGCTAGCACTGGAGTGTGGGCCAACTCTCGCCATTCTCCCTCTGAACTTCACGGCATGCCCTCTCGCTTCTGCAGCCCCAGGTCCTGGAGTCACTGCATTATCACAGCATCACGGGTTTCATTTGGACGAAAACCTCTGCTTCCAGATCTCCTTGAAGCAGGGAAAGAACTGAAAAACACAAGTACGGCGTAGCGATGCAGAAAGCATCACGAAGAGAGGAACACAATAGCACATTTTTCTAGAATACACTGCTTTGAAGTGTGACTCATTATTTTGAGGTGGCAGGAGCATAGCAGCCATACTATCTTATCTACCATCGGATCAGCGACAACCCCTTTCCACCCACCGCCGAGCTCAAACAGCCAACTGATACAGTCCTGCTTCCTTCCTGGGAACTTGCTGTCGTTTGTCGTTTTTCTCTGACAATCCCCTTGACAGCTCAGATGCTGCTCTTGTACTTTTAGCTGCTTTTAACACAGGCTCTAATACCCATTTGCCAAAACGTTAAACTGCCCTTTGCCCTACCTGAAATCTTAGGTGTTCAGCTACTTTCACTTTCATTATGATATTTTGCCTTAAAGCCTGGGCCCTTGGAGTCACGTAAAAGGGACCCTAAATCTCAGAAAGTAAGAGTGCATTTCTAGCCACGGTGACTGCTTGGAAAAGCTTAAAAATACGGCCCAAGAGCAGGAACGCAGAAAGGCAAAATCGTCAGTGCTGCTTTAAGTAACTGAATGGCTCTGGGTCAGCGAGGAGCACTGGTTCACAGTCTGTGAACGCTGTGGGTTGGTGTAGGTCCACCCCGGGTGCCTGCCCCAGCGAGGACAGCTGGGTCCGGGCTGGATCTCGTGAGCCGCCGAGGACCTCC